TACTTTAAATACAGTTATATTTGGATCAATAGGTGACATTCGACCATTTTCAATAGCACATATAAGAAATATAAAAAAAAATAACCAAGTACGAGTTAATATAAAAAAACTAAATGTATGTTTTATAATAGCTCGTGCAAAATAAATAAGAAATAAACGATGATGTAAATGACTTAAACGTCGAGGTTTATGATTTGTACCATCTTCGACTGCTGAATTACTAAATTGTAATCGAACAAGATTTTTAGTAACTAAACTTTGTCGACGTAGAAAACGTTCCATATGTTTCATAGGTAAAACACCACTTGTTGATAATGATAGACTCGATCCTAATCGACTATCAGATGCAAGTAAACCCGAGTTACTATCTGCATTTGGCATAGAATTTTTTTCAGCTTCAGCTTCCTCTCGTGCTTGTAATGCTAACCAAGATAATTCCAATGGAGATTCATCAAGAGCGCATAACATTTGTGGTTTTGTTGCCATTAACAATAGATAAACTAATAATGTTGCAGTTGCAAAGAAATTTATATCGACAGTTTGAAATCCAGCAAAACGTGTATTTATTGTTTGAAATATAAATATAAGAACACGTATACCTGATGGATAAATAGCAAAATGTTCACTATGTAAATCTAGTATAAGTGAAATGCTAACACCTAATATGTATAATAAAACGGTTACAAAGAGATAAATACGAGTTTGTACAGCAGGAAAAAGTAAAGTAGATAAACGATGATTATTCAAAAGAATATAATCAAATATAACTTTATGACGCCATGGTGATAAATAACGTAACAATATAACAACATTTCGTAATATAAAAGGAAAAAGTGATGTTCCACTCATAATTAACTGAAAAGAAAAAGCGTTTCAAATAATGAATTAAAGAAAAAAAATGAAATTATTTACCATCATAAGAAACAAATTAAGATAAACATCAAAAACAAAACGTGAAAGACCATCTGAAAATGGTGAAAATCCATTTTGATTAAAACCTGTTACAGTAACAATAAATGAAATATACCATGGATTAATAGTAGAATTTCCTTGAAATAATTCTTCAGATTTATAATGTGTTTGTATCCAACCACCAATAGCAAAAAACATTATTATATAAATAGTAAAACAAGTAGCAAGAATAAGTACAATACATGTTATATAAGCACGATAACGAAGTTGTCGTGCATTTGGTAATGTTGCAAGTTGTTTTCGTATATGTACTGGTAAATTTCTTCCGTGTCGAATATTAATCGTTGGTAATTCATCAACATCATCATCTTCGTCTTCTAACTCACCATGATCATCATCCACTGTTACTCCTTCAACTCTTCTGTGTGTATAAGCTTTAACAACTAATGCTGGTAGTGTACTTATTGTAACACCAGATATAAATGTAAAAAACATAAGAATTATTTGAGATGCTTGTGAAAGTTTTGCAAAATCTAATGTTGTCAAACCACAACTACATACAGATGAACTACTAACAAACCATGCATCAATATATTTGACTTTAATTTGAAGATTACGTGAGGATAAATGATTTTCAATAAGCCAAACGATTAAACCACCTAACAATGAACTGATTAAAAACCAACCCATATGAATATAAAAATAATAAGTCATCTTCCAATGAGGTCGTTTTTTCTGTGGAGATGTTGGTCGTTTTGACTGATCATTTTTTGATTCGTCGGTTGTAACATCAACAATTGTTGATAATTCTGCTGGTTGAATCTGTACTTGTGATTGCACTCCTGATATAAAACTGGATCCGTGACTATGGGATACTGAATCTGCTTGAAAACTAGCATTGTCCATACTAGTTAGACTTAATCTTTCAGCAACAGCAGCTACCGCAAGGAAATATTACGACCGTCTCTCGCGTTGCGCATCACGAGTTAACAAAAGCATTTTTCTATTTTTTTCGTTCGTTTATGATACAGGACACTTTTTATTGTATCATTAATTCAGCCGAATGGTTTACCTGTATGTTTGTGATGAAATAGAGGATGACATTAATTTGATTCTTGTTTTTTTTTGCTATATTGACTTATTAAAACTATTGATAGATTAATATATATTTTCATGGGTCACAATATATACTCAATAACACCAGAATAAAATATTGATTGTAGCGGCCTGAACACAATTGACGAAATATTTTTATTAAATAAAAGAAGACTGTTCAGTGTCGATAACAAAATATGCATTACATTTTTCTTATTTTTTTGATATACAAAAACAAAATATTGTACTTTTTTTTTCTTTTTCCACCTGAAATACATTTCATTTATTAGTAAAAATTATATTAGAATCTACCATATAAATAAGGAATGTAATTTTTTTTTTATTTTACGAAGCCAAAATTATGTTTGTACATGATTTTTTTTGACAAACATAAGACGTCGTTTTGCTGTCATTACGTTAAAACTTTGATTCAGACTGTTAGATAATAATTAACAAGAAATTGATTGAATATTTAAAAAAGGACATTATTGTCATGTTTATCGGTATTGACAATTTACTAGATGACTATCTTGTCTCATTTGGCTATAATATATTGTTCTGGCACTTGTATGTATTTTCAGTTATAAACATTGTTCACTGAATAAAACATGAAGTACTGATGAATAACTTTAAGATGAAAATATTTTGACTGATAAAATTAATAAAAATTTAATTCGAGCTTCAATCATACATAGAATATTTATGCAATATTTGTTTTTCTTTTTATGGCAGGTGCAAAGGTAAGGGAAATAAAAGCGAAGACATATTATTTTTTATTTTTTTTTTCAATGTCGAACTGAAAGAAATCGTATGAAAATAAAGTGAAAAGTAATATTAAGAACAACGATAAAGATCAATACCAGACAAAACACCCTAGAAAGTCAATTGTTCTAGTTATTAAAAAAATGTTTTCGAATTTATCAGAAAATGAATCATTTTAGAGACTTTTCAAACTACCAGAAATTCTCAAAGAATTTCAAAGGTCAAATGCTTTCTCCCCTTTCTTGACTTAACATGGATTTTTTGGGTCATTTTCAAAACCCAAGAATTCTATTTAAATGTTAGAAAATTTGAAAAGAAACCATATTAGTGATAATCATATATTAACTTTGTTTGCAAGATACTGTTTAGAATAGATATTTTCTTTTTGCTTGAAAAAATATTGTGCTGCTGATTTTTGATAGCTCTTAGAAAAAAAGAAACATTCATCTCGTATCTATAGAAAAAAATTCAACTGAATCGAACGTAGTATATCATAGAGAACAACATTCGGAAATTTCGAGTGTATGCAAAATTTTTCATGTACTGACGAAGATCTATCTTCGAAAGATGAAGAGAAGGGAGCGGTATTTTTAAGAGATCAGAATTGTTGAAGTTGTCTATATCTGACAATCTCAAACTTCTAGTCTCGGTGTTAGCCTCACTCTTGAACATTGCCATGTCATAATATGTTTCAAATGATTAACTCAATTTGTTATTCAAACATAGAATACAATAAGAATTTTAAAATTTCTGAATTCATTACATTTGTTATTCGAATTTTGTTTATCAAAAAAGAAAAAAAAATCAAACATCTTCAATGTACTAGAAGGATCAAAAAGTTCTGAGAATGTTAAAAATGACCATGTCGGGTTTGATAACCTATCCAGAATTAAAAAAACAAACGCACCATGTTGTAGAGCAAGTCGAGGCGCGTCGAATGGTATATCACAAATCTTGTTTTCATAAAATTTTGAGGGAACTAGACTGGATTTACTGGTGAACGTCCATGGATTCAAAGACTCACCAATAGCTACTACCCGTGGAAAACGACGGTGGATCATCGAAAAGTCGTATTTTGTCCTATCAAAGATAAAACGATCGGAGATGCTGACGATATGAGCTTGTAGCCCGTGAAAAGTGCTACAAAACTGTATATAGGAAAGTTATTTTTACAAACACTTTCGACTGATACCAAGGCCTACAATGGTCAGTGCTTTCGCTCGATGGTCGACTACCAGTAAATCCAGTCTGGTTCCCTCAAAACCTTTTGAAAACAAGATTTGTTATATACCACTCGACGCGTCTCGACTTGCTCTACAACATGACATGTTTGATTTTTTTATTTCGGAATAAGTCACCAAATCCGACATGCTCATTTTTGAAATTCTCAGAACTTTTTGATTCCCGTATGTACATCAAATGATTTCTATTACAATATTTGTTCCTTGCTTTAACTCATAACTTAAATAAATCGTTTTAGATAATAATCAAGTTTTTCACCTGTATTCAATAGAAATACAATGATGACTATAACCGGTTATCAATCCGGACCGAATGAATAATCATCATAATTGCATTCTTATTAGTCATGAAAACAAACAAACACGTTGATAAAAAAATGTTTTTGTTTTTTTTAAATAAATTATTTTCTCTATTGAACAACAATAGTTGCCATATGATAATATGAAGTAGAAATTGATAGAACTTGTTGATTAT